TCCAGAATTCTGCTCACAAGTGTAATAAACAGAAGTAAGTGCTGTTTCCAAGTTGTAACTTAAGTCACGTCCTCGGACGTGACTTACCTCTCCACCAATCCTCTTAAGTACTGCGCCCATCATTGCCTTTGTGATGATGTCAGGTTTCCACTCGCCTTCGTCATGGGAAAATTTGGGAGTCTTGTCACGCGTGACCTCCACTTTGACTGTTCTAATTTGTGGAAGAGTCATCACTGGGGCCCAGGCTAACCTCCCCATGGTGCATATACTCCAGGCCAAGTGGCTTACTCACTGGCCTGGAGTTTTACGACTCACTAGCCATGGATTCTAACCCCACCTAAACAGTGATATTGTAATTTTTAATTATTTAATCTCTGTCTCATTCAATGTTGTAGTTTAAGCTTTGCACGTATTCAAGAACTCTTAATTTGAACATCTGTCACAGATGTTTTGTATCCTGTTACATTATCAAGACTAAACCCTATTGACAGTATGGCTGTATTTCAGCTGCACACAGCCAGTTACTACAGCATTTTCCGGCATATAAAACGCACCTTTCTCCACAAAACAGTCTTGGAAAATCATCCTGTGCCATAAAGCTCAAGGTCAAGGGTAGGCTTTGTGTTATGTTTTAGAGTAAAGAGGGAATTTAACCCTTTATATGATTACTGATTTACCATCATAATTCTATCGTGCGCCTTATATGCCGGAAATAAAGTACATGATGCTATACAATAAAGGCAAAAGTAGACCATTAGGTTATATACACTGAATCATATACACTGAATCATATACACTGAATGATATACACACCTCGGTGTTGAATACTGAGCCCCCTGAATGGAGCCCATTGTTATAGTGTATATTTTCGGTATACATTTATCTTTTCATATCATTTTATATTGCCAATATTTTCATTAATAGCTAAAATGAAATTATCTTGCTTTATATTATTTGACTTATTGTATTAGTTATGTATGTAGGTAGGAAGTAACATGTTCCACTTCTCACTGTGCTCGCTGTTGAAGAGTTGTGATTGGTTGTCCACTGTCGCAAACTTTGCTAACTACCGCTCACTTGTTTGTGTCAGGTGGTACCTTACGCCGTCGCTGGAGTAGCATGGGTGAGTCGGGTGATCTCACCTGATGTGAGGCTTGCAGTCCATACCTCCCTCCCCCCCCCCCCTCTCTCTCTCTCTCTCTCTCTCTCTCTCTGTCCCCTCAAGGAAGGTTCCTTGATGTTGGTGAGGGGCTCTTGATTTAGGGAATTGGATCTGTGCTCCAGTTCCCCGAATTAAGCCTGAATGCCTTCCACATCCCCCCCCCAGGCGCTGTATAATCCTCCGGGTTTAGCGCTTCCCCTTGATTATAATAATAATAATAATCTCTCTCTCTCTCTCTCTCTCTCTGATTCTACTCCTGGAAACATCTGTCGAGCGACTTCTACAAGAAACATCTCTCCAGGGATTTCTTGTCTCTGACTGTTTTTTTCGTTATTTAGACTGTTATGGAAGAGTATGGTTTCGCTGGTGAGTTCGAAACGTACCTCTCGTTCAGACTTAGTGGTTTTGACGTTATGCAGAGGTAGTGTGTATTGCGACCCCTTAATGGGTCACAATGTATATAATGTTTATTACCTGTTCATATAATTTTATATTGCTTATATTTGTGATATTACCAAAATCGTAAATATATTGCTTTATATTATTTGACTTAGTTATATTATTAGGTAGGATGTAACATTTATATATTATTCAGTGCTCATAGTTCGAGTGACAGTATCGTCTAACTACTGTAATTTTCACTCTGCTTGTTTTGCTGCCGGCTTCTGTGTTGCTGGGCAGCAGCAGTCCATAGAGAGTCACGTGATCAAGGTGGGGTTCTCACCTCACCAGAAGTGAGTGTCTGCCTGGCCTACGCTCTCTTGTCTGTTTGACGTGCCTTCCAACAAGACGTCCCTCTCCATCTCTCCCTTGTGGGCCCTTGTTGGAAGATCGTCTTTGTCGCTTTCTTGTTGTTGGTTCTGTGTAACTCTGTTCACAGAACATAGCCTAGACTTAGTGATTTTCGACGTTGTACTGAGGTTGTCTCTCTCATAGACACTCTGAGAAACTCAGGTCCTGAGCTGTAGCTTCTGACCTAATTTGTACTGGTATCTGTGTACTGTCACAGTCGGGGATTTTCTAGTGCTGAACTTAGATTCAGTAGTATGGGAGTTTTGTGACTTTTGTGGAGGATCTGCAGATGGTCCCTGCTTAGTGTGGTTATATTATTTCCTTGTTCCTGATTCTGTGTCGCTGTTGCTTGTTATATTGCTGTTCGGCTTATCAGTCGTTTTATTGTTCAAGCAAGCTGTTCTGATTGCCAGGCTGGTCAAGAAGTTAATTTATGTGAGGACTTTTAGTCAGTCACTGGTTAAGTCTGGTCGAGTCTTAAGACATAGCGAACTACTTAGAGCACTTACACACAAACTTACTTGTATATATTTGTATTATGTTATTAAATGTTAACAATGTACCAGACGGTACTTAAAAGCCATAAAGATGTGATATGTGCCTTCAGCACAATACTACAGTACACCAGAGAAGTGTAGGAACTTGTGTCCTATATTATATTCAACTGATTACTATAATTTACTTTGATCTTATACGCCTAGGCAACTTTATTGTTATTAATAAACTTATTAAATTTTAATTTCTTTAGTTAGTAGCCTACCAGTTGTAATCCTGAAGCACTATTGAATCTTACTAAATTCTAATGGATAATTGGACCAGGATACTGACTACTTGTTACAAAGACCCAGTAACAGGCTGGATGCTAGAAGGGCAGTGCTTTCTAGTATTCACTGGAGATCTCTATGCTTATTAGATATCGCGTTTTTTGTAACAGTGTGTCGTCTGGAGACACTCTTCAACCCTGGTCCCAAGGTGAAGCTTCTGACCTACTTTATGTGGCATCTACGCACCGTCGTAGCCAGGGATTTGGTCATGCTGAACTTAGATTCAGTACTGAGGAAGTTTATACCTTTTATGGAGGATCTGATGATAGTCCTTAGTTATGGTCATTATTTTGTCTCCTTATTCCTGACGCCGTGCTACTGCTTGGTACATTATTGCTATTTGGTGAATGTTTCGTCATTTTGTACAAGCTAGATGTTTTGATTGCCTTGATGGTCGAGAAGATAGATTATTTGAGGACATATTGTCAGTCACTTTTTAAATCTATTTCGAGTCAAATCTTATTGAGACATTACGAGTACTTTGAGCACACACATTCACATTCATACACTTAGTGAAGAGGCGGGGCCAGGAGCTATAACTAGACCCCTGCAACCACAACTAGGTGTATATATATTGGTATTATTCGTATTCAAGAGCATATCTCACCATAGTACTCACGATTTGTACTGTTCGAGAAGTGCCCTCAGCACTGCTATTACCCTATGTACAATTCGATATTAAACTACAAAAGATACGAAGGAGCTTGTATCCTAAACTATGTAATACATGTTATCCGCCTAGACACCTTTCTTATTAAAGATCTCAAATTTTATTTCGTTGGATTATCACGTAGTTGTAAGCCCAAAACTCTTATTAATTCACTCAATTCAAGGGATAACTAAACCTGATCTTCTTCTGACTTGTTACAAAAACCAGAAACAGTCTGAATGCTAGAGGGGGAGACCTTCTAGTATTCTCTGAAGATGTCTATATTTTACAGATATCGCCTATTTTTTAATATAGTATGGGACACTTAAGCAACATATGGAATACTTATTGAGGAAAAGTTTCGCCATACAGTGGCTTCAGCAGTCCAATACAAAGCAGAACGGCGTAAAGGAGGAGCTTCAGGTTATCAGTCCCCTCAGCCTGGAATCGATGTGTGGAGTCCATCAGTCTTCAAGACTGATGGACCCAACACATCGATTCCAGGCTGAGGGACTGATTACCACAAACCCCATTTTTTATACCTTTCTTCTTTGCATTGGGCTGATAAAGCCGCTGTGTGGCTAAACGTTTCCGCAGTAATGATTCCTATATATTGCATAAAGTGTCTCATGTTCAACACGTCATTTATCACACCTGGGTGTAAACACCATTTATCACACCTGGGTGTAAACACCATTTATCACACCTGGGTGCAAACACCATTTATCACACCTGGGTGCAAACACCATTTATCACACCTGGGTGCAAACACCATTTATCACACCTGAGTGCAAACACCATTTATCACACCTGGGTGCAAACACCATTTATCACACCTGGGTGCAAACACCATTTATCACACCTGGGTGCAAACACCATTTATCACACCTGGGTGCAAACACCATTTATCACACCTGGGTGCAAACACCATTTATCACACCTGGGTGCAAACACCATTTATCACACCTGGGTGCAAACACCATTTATCACACCTGGGTGCAAACACCATTTATCACACCTGGGTGCAAACACCATTTATCACACCTGGGTGCAAACACCATTTATCACACCTGGGTGCAAACACCATTTATCATACCTGGGTGCAAACACCATTTATCACACCTGGGGGCAAACACCATTTATCATACCTGGGTGCAAACACCATTTATCACACCTGGGGGCAAACACCATTTTGTGTCCAGTCAGTCCAATAATCTATGATCTCTGAATGACGCCCATTTTTTTATTGTGTTCCAAAGCTTCAAGATTTTTGGTAAATTTTCGTTGTTTCGTTAACAAAAATATTATTACCGATTATATATACTTAAACTGGTACAACATTACAAATACATCACCACTGGTACAGTGCCACAGGTACAGCACTACAGGTACAGCACTACAGGTACAGCACTACAGGTACACCACCACAGGTATGCCACCACAGGTACAGCACCAATGGTACAGCACCAGTGGTACAGCATCACAAGTACAGCGTCACAAGTACAGCGTCACAGGTACACTCTACAGGTACAGCATCAACGGTACACCACAGGTACACACTACAGGTACTCACTTGTCCCTGAGGTTGTAAACACCACCGTAGCCACCGTCCACCTTCAGTAACTTGGCCACCAGGTCGGCGCCCTTGAACACGTTCACGATGAAGAACTCAGCAGGGTAAGTGGTCTTGTTCTTCTTCTTGTACACACGTGTCACGAACCCGTAGAACACCACCTGAGGGAGGGAGGGACGGGGGAAGTTAGTGGGTGAGTGATGGAAAGTTGCTAGAGGGAGATAGTATGGGAGGGAGCAAGAAGAGAACGAGAGGGAGAAAGGAACGAGAGGGAGAGAGAAAGTAACAAGAGGGAAAGAGGAAGGAACGAGAGGGAGAGAGGAAGGAACGAGAGGGAGAGAGGAAGGAACGAGAGGGAGAGGGAGAAAGGAGAGAGAGAGAGAAGGGAGTAAGAAAATAGAAATAATCGTGGGTGGAAGGAAGGAGAAATAAAGATGAAAATAATACTTATTATCCTCACACTAACAACAACAATAATAATAATAATAATAATAATAATAATAATAATAATAATAATAATAATAATAATAAAATTACCAATAACAATTATTTTCAATAATACAAAAACTTGTAAAACATTCTTTATGTAACATTTCAGTGATACCAAAATTATTTCTGCTAGTAACACATTGTTTTGCTTCGCAACTCAATATGATGCTGCTGAAACAAGTCAACTACGACTTCGTTAAAACGCTCCGTCTGACCTAAAGATTTTAATTACAACATTTTTAGCCCAACCCTCTGCTACAGTATGTATTTAGATACTCACATAATCTTAACAGACGGAGAGTCGAGCCTTAACAACCCCTTGCCATGGAGGACCAACAGAATTTTAGAGATTTACACAATTATTAATTATGAATTAATATTCGTACTGATATAACCCATTATGTGCATTGGAATATTATGTGGGTGGCTAGTGTGTACATTGGAATATCGTGTGGGTGGCTAGTGTGTACATTGGAATATCGTGTGGGTGGCTAGTGTGTACAATGGAATATTGTGTGGGTGGCTAGTGTGTACATTGGAATATCTTGTGGGTGGCTAGTGAGTAAATTGGAATATTGTGTGGGTGGCTAGTGAGTAAATTGGAATAGCGTGTGGGTGGCTAGTGTACATTGGAATATCGTGTGAGTGGTTAATGAGTACATTGGAATAGCGTGTGGGTGGCTAGTGTGTACACGGTTAGTGTGAACATGGGAGAGCTATTATGCCCACTTACACAATATCCACCCACACGTTATTCAATAACATGCGAGTGGCTAGTGTGTACATGACTAGCGTGAATACAGAGAAAAACCTGTAGGTGTCTAGTGCGTACATGCCTAGTCTATACATCGCAACATGTGGATAATTAGCATGTAAACTGGAAAAACATGTAGGTAGCTAGCGTGTACATGGCTAGTGTACAAGGCTAGCACGTACATGGGAGTGCAGTGGTGCTAATCAGAGAACCTTCTCATTGGGTATATCCTTGAAGAATTGAGACACTTATGCAACATATGGGAATCTTTATTGAAGAAACGTTTCGCCACACAGTGGCTTCATCAGTCCAATACAAAGTAGAAGTGGGTAAGGAGAGTAGAAGTTTGAGGTAATCAGTCCCTCAACCTGGAATCGATGTGTTCAGTCCATCACTCTTGTAGGAAGTGCAGCATAGGGCCAGAGAGGTGGCTTATATACTGCAGTGAGATGAGTTGAAGCAGGAAGAGGCGGGATCACAGTGGGACCTGCCACTAGTGTAAGTAGGTCGTCGTATATCCTTGTTTCAAGGAATCTGGGACACCTTCCCCTTCCCTAAATTAATCCTGACTGACTCCCATTTCCAGGCGCAATATGATTCCTGAGGAATTTAACCCATCCTCAACACATTAATAATAATAATAATCCAAGGTTGGCAGAGAGCAGCTGATCAGGGAGGTACTACCGTCCTGCCGAGTGTAAAACGGAAACCTGTAATTGTTTTACATGATGGTAGGATTGCTGGTGTCTTTTCTGGGTCATGCATGATTTCAGGTACGTCTTGCTACGTCTGCTTACACTTAGGTCACACTACACATGCGTGTACAAGCATATACACACACCCCTGAGTGTTTTGTATTTTCTTGCTAGTTCTTGTTCTTGTTTAGTTCGAATCTCCATGGTGAAGTGGAACAGAATTTTTCCTCCGTAAGCCACGAATGTCGTAAGAGGCGACTAAAATGCCGGGAGCAAGGGGCTAGTAACCCCTTCTCCTGTATACATTACTAAATTTAAAAAGAGAAACTTTTTTCTTTTTAGGTCACCTTGTATTGGTGAGATATGGCCAGTTCGTTAAAAATAATAATAATAATACACATCAGGCAACAATAAGTAATTGAAATAAAACCTAAATCAAATGCAAAATTCAGTTGTGAGGAAGCAGTCAAATACCCATTTGTGGCAAATATGAATTATCTTCACATTACATAAATAAGGTGTACACACACTATGCAATAATCGCGAACAAGCAATTCAACTCCCTATTTAACTCCCTATCCTAGAGCTATCATTCAACTCCCCCTCAGAGGGAGATGAATGAGAGCTCTAGGTCTTTCATGCTGCAGTCAACATAACTCTAGGAACTTGCAATATTGCAGAAATGAGTAGTGCAGATAAATTCGTTCAGAACGGTTCTGAACTTCCTACACATTTCTGCAATAATGCAAGCAACTGAAGATGTGTTTATTGCAACACGAAAGGCCTAAATCTATCATTTAACTCCCCCTGTGGTGGTTTTGCATATACACTCATGTGTAAAGACGTACATGAACGTATTCACACGCACGCCGCACGCACATACACAATCACACGCACACTTGTGCAGGCGCTCAAACGGGGTCTGCATGAGCCACAGACTACACAAACTTTTTAAAGCTTTTCTCGTGTTTGCCACTAAAATTCTAGCACAACGGATATTAATGTGGCAAGTCTCTCTAACTGAAGATAAGTTCAGGCGAGCAGAGGCAGCAAGCAGAGGCAGGGAGCAAAGGCAGAGCAGAAGGAAGCAAGCAGAGGTAGCGAGCAGAAGGAAATAGAGAAATCGAGCCGAGATGGCGCCCAGAGAAAGCAAAAGGAAGTTGTAAATTATTATTATTATAATCAAGGGGGAAGCGCTAAACCCGGAGGATTATACAGCGCCTGGGGGGGGATGTGGAAGGCATTCAGGCTTAATTCGGGGAACTGGAGCACAGATCCAATTCCCTAAATCAAGAGCCCCTCACCAACATCAAGGAACCTTCCTTGAGGGGAGGAAGTTGTAAAGAGTGGAGCTGATCGAAAGAATGGATCAGATGAAGTGGTTAGTGGAGGGAACCAGAGGAAACAACCAGGGGAACGACCAGAGGACACAACCAGAGGAACGACCAAAGGACACAACCAGTGGAACGACCAGATGATACAACCAGAGAAACGACCAGAGGACACAACCAGTGGAACGACCAGGGGAGGTAACGATGAACCTAGGCTCAGAACTGTCTGTAACCCCTCCCCCCCCAAAAAAAAAATAAATAAATGCTAGTTCTTTATGTCTGAAACTCTGATCAACTACTTCAGAAACTAAACAAGTGTAGAAATGTACTTCACCGTCGCTGGGGCTTCCAGCAGTGAAAATGTCTGATAAAACCAAAGCCAGAATAAATTTCCTTTTCTGTAGCTCTCTCAGTGGTCCACAGTAATAAGCAACATGAATTCCATTGCGATTATTTGTAAATGCTTCACACCTCGTCCGTGTTGTACTAAAATCACCAATATTACCACATCTCGTCCGTGTTGTATTAAAAACACCAATATTACCACACCTCGTCCGTGCTGAATTAAAAATACCAATATTACCACTCCTCGTCCGTGTTGTGCTAGAAACATCAATGATACAGCTTCTCTTCCGTGTTATGTTAAAAACATTATCATCCCCATGGCATCTCTCCCTTGCTTTGTATAAAATATATCTTCGACACAGCTTCTCTCACCTGATGAGTTAGCAAACCTTCTGTAATGAGTTGATGAAATATTACAATGCCAAATTTTCATCATGTATTCAGCTCTTAACAAATCACAATTACTCTGTTATTATACCAGCAGCGTTGAATGTCTCATATCCTGGACATTCTCAGCAGTTTGACAGTTAATTTTTTTTTTTATTCGCCGGTATTCCCCCGGCCCGGGTATATATTCTGAGAACTTGGTTCAAATGTATATATACTGAGAGCTTGGTTCAAATGTATATATACTGAGAACTTGGTTGAAGAGTATATATACTGAGAGCTTGGTTCAAATGTATACATACTGAGAACTTGGTTGAAAGGTATATATACTGAGAACCTGGTTGAAGGGTATCCTTGATCTCAAAACTAGCAGCATCCCTAATTACTAGAAAGTATAATAAAAATAATGTTTCAGTACACAGTCAACATGAGTATATACCGAGTTTATACCGTTGTATCGATATTAAATATTAATAACTAAATTTCGGCCAACCTAGAATGGATCTGGTAAAATTGGGTAAAATATATTACGTTTATTTCAGCAGAATTAAAGTTATTGTAAATTATCAAATATATGTACGTCAGTTCAAAAATAAATTTCTCAAAAAAAGCAGAATTGGCCTAAGATAGAAATAAATTATTTATATATTAGTTATTTATTTAGGTTTTATGTCAATTCGGGTTTTTTTTTTTTTTGGCCGACTCTAATGTAAAAAAGCACTACCCAGTAATTACCGATTTTACACCAGAATTTCATGTCTCTTTGGAGTCTAATTCCCCGAGTCTTTCCCTGACTCTAAGCTCTGAATCCGATTTCCCCGAGACTCACCGAGTAGTAGGTGGGCTCTAAGATAGAGAATTGTGCCTTCAATAGGATGCTGGACTAGTAAGACCAAGAATACCTGAGAGACCGTGTCAGGCCCTAGAAGGAGCGCCGGAGATAAATGGCACTGTGGCTTTCACCTTCCCACACGCCACTGTAATGCTTCTTGTAGGGTTTCGAATCCTTGCAATCTGGTTATGGAGTGATGCTAGTATCATTTTTTGATTCCTGTAAGGGGTTTGAAACCTTTCGACCAACTTGCGATAAAGTATCTTGAGAGGGATTGAATCCATGTAGCCTATAAAGGAATGATGTAAATTGCTGTGGGAGTGCGAAC